TTTCATATTCCATTTTTGTTCGGAAGTTGGATAAGAAATCGTGGAAGTTTTCATCGTAGAAATGAAATTAACATAGTGGAGAAGCAAAAGTATTTATGTGCCACTCATTTATGAGAACAAAAATGAATTTCGGTTTCTTGCTTTGAAATAATAATTTCTGAAACCCTCTCCTGTAGAACTTTGAGAAAAGATGAAATTCCGTAACGTGAGACATTTCCAGTTTTATATTGGATGAGGATACAATGAATCGGTAATGATCTAATATTCTAATAGTTTGATAAAAGCTGAACGCTTCCTGAACGCAACGTTGACTTGAGCTCCTCGTGTTTTTGTATAAAAATGCTTAATTCTCAACCACCCTTAAAAGAATTTCCATTTTAGGAAATTCCGTAACGATCATCATTTCGTCAGTAACTCTGCAAAAATTAAAGATGAAGTAATGACATTTTTACAGGTACTAGATCTAAGTGCACTTTATTCTTGGCAAAAATTTCAGAGTTTGTCTGCATCACTAGTAAGTTACATAGGACGGAATATGAAAAAATGAAATTATGTAACGCGCGGTTATGCCGATATATGGTTACTTATGCATAAAATTTCAATGCATGACGTATGTTGTTTTTCAAAATTAAATTTTCAATACGACGTAATTCTCAATGTTGCTGTTTTCCTATGACTGAACAAATAATAGAGCGTAAAGTACAATCAAAATAATATTAGTTGATAATTTATTTGAACAGTAACATTCATCCATACAATAAGAGAGTTTTTCTGATTCATTAAAAATAGATTTACTTGAAAGAAAATATGTGTAGAAGAAAACTCATACTTTAGCTTCAAATCAGATCATAGTGAATATCTTTGAATAAATTATCCTCATCGTATTCTGAATATTCTCTTCTATTCTTCAGTAAACGGAAATGCATGTTAATATAAAAAACTATCAATCGAAATTTTCTACAAAATCATATTTGTCTTGAAGAAAAAATATATTTTACATATATTGGATAAAAGATGAAAAATAAAGAAATATAAAGAGATGTTTTTTTATTTCCCATCTAAACAAAATTCTATGTAATGAAATTTCGACTACAAGAAAATCATTAGAGTTTCACAATTTATTTCGTTGTTTTTTTTATCTTTTTTGTTATTAGGCTTTGCAAAATATAAAACTTTTTCAGCTACATGTTCTGATATAATTTGCTATCTTTTTACAGAAGATTTCAAGTTATAACAAGATGAAATAAGAATAAAAGTGCATTAATCTTACACTAGAAAACAATATCACGTACTCCACTTAGAAAACAAAACATATGAAAATGACATCATTTGCTGTATGTAAAGTTTGAAGAGTTTCGCAGTGTATATCTTGCAGTGTCTTTTGTTTTTCAATAGAATAAAGAAGGAGAATGACCATTCTTTGTTCTGAAGATGACATTGTCGATAATCTTTGCTCGTCCTTCTCGAAGATGCTCGACATCTACCGTGCGCATAAAATATTGGAAAGAACAGCAGCTCATTGCGTTCTGTTCGCGTGACAGAATGTGTCGTTATGCGTGTTGCGCATTAAACATATAACGTTATGCGTATATTTTGCGTACGCATCGACATGGGAAATGAAATTATGAATCAAATTAATATTTATTTAAGATCTTAAAGAGATATAACTATTTTTTATACTCAAACAAATTGATACAGAATTTTATGAAAAATAAACGTGAAGTTGTTTCTAAAACACCCAATTAGAAATTAAGTAATCTATTAACATTAGTATTTGAATTCGACAAACGTCTCCTTATTAATTTCAATTTTTGTTCATTTCGGTCAGGAATGCCCATTTCAACTACAACATAAACAATGAGCTCTTGTGATTACAGCGTTGTTCAGCAAACAAATCCTAAGCAAGTTTCAATTAGTGATGTTGTCGCAATAAAAAATCACGATTGTAAGTATAGTATAAAAGTTTTCTTATGGTTATAATCTAAGTATAGTCACAATGTAGCTGGATTTAAATTATGGAAAGAAACTGATGTACAAGAAAGTACTTATTGTGTCACGCTGTTTCATTTAAAATTGGACAAAAAGAACGATCTAATAGTCAACGATGACATCTTGGTCAACTTTGGACATTGTGATTCACGTAACATTTTTGATCTTGAGGGTGTGGGTGTGGGTGTGTGGAAGGGGGGGGGGTGTTGTTGTGGGGGTCAGTTATACCAAGAGAAAGAAACACCCAACCCCTTTTATTAACACCAAGACGTTCAGCAAGCTTAATGAATTTTTCGCGAAGCGTTGGATAAGGATTAAAAGCTAGACGCATGTCGCTAGTAGGACTTGCGACTAAGAACGCAATAACATTTTCCGATGGCTATAAAAGTGAAGGAAAAGTACAACAAAACGATATCAGGATAGATTTACTTTATGCGTTCGATTTAAATGCTGATTTTTTGAAAAGATGTAGTGGGTCGGAATAGTCAAAACCGAACTCAAATTTAAATTTATTCTTGTTGGTTTTGTTGTAGTTGTTGTTAGTGGTGTTTCTCTCATGAGTTGTTTGTTAAAATCAATAGATATCTATGGCTGGAAAGAGGTTCCGAATGAATAGAAAAATAATAAAATCAATAATAAAATAGATACAAACGATATTAAAAACATTTGATTACGCAACCATTCTTTGCTTCTATTCAAATAACATTTCTAAATTGTAACATTTGACTTTAAAAAAATAACTTAGAGCATCTTTTGCCGAAAATAAATAATTTTTGTTTGCTTTTGTATTCTTGTGAATATTTGAACGATTCAGTGTTTACTCGAAAAGTAAATCACTGCTGATCTTTGTTCCTGTATGATTCAAATATGCAAATAGAAATCTAGAAAGTGAAACTTTTTTTGATGATAAAAATAATCGATAGACTGCTATCCGAAAAATCTGTAAGTTTGTCCCTCTTTTGTGATTAAAAAATAAGCAGCTCTCTGTAAATTACCCATGTGTAGAAATGCGCTCTTTTTTCTTCAGCTTGAAGAGTGAATATTAAGGAAAATGCGCTTTTAGTCAAAAATGGCTCTTCATGGTAACATCTGTTTTTAGAAATGTTTAAAGCAATAGACAGAAACATTAATATCATTACGAATTACTCGATAAAGTAATTAAAGAAATGGAAAAAAAATTTGAATTACAAATAATGAGAAATATTGCGCCATGCTTATCATTTGTGCAATGCATAGACTTGTTGCGAGTTTTAAACATCGATTTAAGTATGTATGCTAGTAGCTGTTTTTTCTTGAAAATTGTCTACTAGTCTTTTCTTTACTGATCATCGCTGAATGAAATGCTTTTTACTGAAGTCATGCATGGAAAAATATACTTGATAGTCAAGAGGTAATGTAAGAACTTACTTTCATCAGTTCTTCAATATGTCTAGAATGAGTTTCATATTGATTGAAGCAAATATTTGGGAAATATTTTCTTTGGAATATGAGTGCTAGTTTTTATCTACATTAGAGAAAAGTTAGCACAAATGCTCATATAACTAGAATTTGGCTAACGTAAGAAGAGATGAAAATAGTGATATTTTTTATAAGTATTTAAAACTGAACACGCTGCTACAACAGGAAGAGCACTTCGAGCTGTTTTAGAAGATTTTGAAATCTTCATGGCTGTATATAAAATACAGAGAAAAATGCTTTACATTTTCTACTGATGTGATGTGTACATTCAACTTATATGCCTGTTGAAATCTATATAAAGCGTTTAAATCAACCACAAGAAAAAAACAGAAAAAAAGGCTGAACTATAGCTATTTATTGTATCTCATAACAAATTAAATTTTTCAAAATTGTATAATACACATTCAAGATAGAGTGCGAAGAAACTATTTGAATTATTGTCATATATCAATGAACCAAGCAAGACATGACGCATAAATCCTTTTTATATTTAACTATATGATATTGGCTTTTACTTCCTTTGACTTTTTGTATGCTTGAATTGTCATCGAGAAAAGAAATGATATGTTAGTCGTGTTTCATTTGCCCAATGATTAGAGCACTGGTTTGGATAGTCAGTTATCATTATTTTGGGTTCGATTCAGTTCCTGAACGAAGCAGACCATCTATTTTTCTGATGAAAATTGAAACATTCAAAAAGTCAAAGGCAGTAAAAGTCAATGTTTTATAGTACTCTTCATAGATTTTCCCCCATTACACAAAGAGTTGTTTTTAAAAGCTAAATTAATACTTTTTGTTTGCATGAAGAAACAGATAAAGTTGAGAATACTTTCTTTTTCACAATTATATTACGTAATAAAGGGCACGTATTTTAAACGGTTGTCTGATTGCGATCGCATATTCTTTTTCTCCGAGTGAAAAGAAAGAAAAAATAGAAAAGTAAAAGTTTGAGTCACAAGAGCAATTTTCAAAGCTGTTCTTTTTTGACATCTGAACAGTTAACAAGAAATTATCAGGCGGCTATAAGTAGAAATAAACAACACCCTATCATTAAGGAACAAGATACAACATCAAGCTAACAGCGTGCTGATTGGTGAGAGCAAGAGTATTGATACGATAGTATGACACTTTTCTCTGTTCCTTCATATCATACAATGAGCATTTTACATCGACAACATATGTTTACATTTACATACGCAATCAGAACATATAAGAAAAGTAGAATGAAGAAGAGAAGTATCCAGCAGAGCAAGATTCTTTAGAAAACATAGTCACAAGACTAGAGCTCTGCAGTTCCAAAAAGTTGGAATCAAGAAATCAGACGGCATCGGTGTTTTTCAATTTCTGAGAATCGAAATTTCCTGGCACCCTTAAGCTTTGGAGAACTGAACCGGATTCGTCTTTTTTCCATTTCCACTAACTTAAAATTTTGATACATGACATTAACAGGAAAAATTGAATCAAATGATCAAGTTTAAAATATATTTGAGATGAAACGTCTTTCCTTCTTTTTTAGTGAACGCATATTTGGATACAAAAATTTTAAAATCGATATGTTCTGTTTATCGTCATCAGCTAATTTTTATTTAAATATTGATTATGAAGAAAAAATCAATCCAAAAAAATATCAAGAATTTAAAGTAACGAAAACAAAAAATGTTTTTTTCGAATAAAACATATTTTTTTAATAGGTTGATGATTTAATTGAATCGTTAAATCAATGGATTCAATCAACAACAACAACACATTTAGATTTATTTTTATCTAAATTGAAAAATGAAAATGAATATGCACCATTTGGAGAACAAATTTTATCATACGAGTTAAATGGAGAAAAGTCTACGGCATATTTAATAAATCGTGTTAATCAAAAAATTTGTGATGATAAAAATTCATTGAGCGATATTCACGTCTTGAAACATTTCTTGTATTTTTTATTGATGCTGCATCAACAATTGATAAAGATGATCCGAATTGGGTTATTTATCTTCTTTATCAGCAATATAAAAATGATAGTGTCAAATATATTATGCACCTATTGGATATAGTACAGTTTATTTCTATTATGCTTATCCGAATAAGAAACGACCAAGAATCAGGTAAGAAAAGTTTTTGTTTTTCAATGTGATATTAGTTTTTTTGCTTTCTTAATTTTTATTTAGTCAAGTATTAACTTTACCAACATATCAAAGGAAAGATCATGGAAGACGTCTTTTAACAGCCATTTATAATGATTTGCGAAAAGATTCACGTGCTCAAGATATAACAGGCATCGCAATTAGTTTCGATAAAACATCAGAGTTTTGATATAAGCGCCACAATCAAATATGTTATGAACAATAGTAATTGGCTCACAAAACAGTCGATTGTTGTCCCTTCTTTCGTTTTCGTCCGGCATGTATCCAGTGATATATGTATATATATATAAGCTTAAACACAAATGATGATTCGAAACATTTATTCATCTACATTCTCTCTATTTATTATCCTCATATTCGATCACTCGTAAATGTTATCATCAAAACGTGTTTCTCAAAAATATTTCATAAAAATACGCGTGAAAAGCGAACGAATCGACAACAAGCCTATGGATAAGTGTACACGTGAATGTCTAAGAATACCCGAAACTATCGAATATTCTCAAGAAAACCTTGCAGTAAGATCATCTTTTTTTCCTAATTTAATTAAAATGATTTATTTTTTAAGATAATTAACAAAGCGCTTGAAAATGAATCCAATCCTAACGAGCAAGTGAAAATGCGTATACATAGAGCGAAATTATTATTCGATAAAAAAGATTGGTCTCGTAAGCAGATTCACATGTGTAATTAATATATTAAAACCCTTTTATATCTTTGTTCAGTTGTCCTGGATGATATAAAATTTATTGAAGAAAATAAACAGATGAACGATTTGTTGTACATGATCAAATGGTAAGTCAAATAATTTTCGTTCTTAAATGATGCACAATGTTTACTCTAGGAAAAGTTTATTACATAAGAATATTGGTCAAGTAAGACGTGAAATAATTAGCAAGCTACATGATGAGGGTAAGGTTATCTTTGTGATTCTGTTTTAAATATACCGTAGGGTTGTTATTTTTAGTTATTAGTTCAAATGAACACTTACATTTATTGACATATACCACTGAAGATAAAATCGATGATTTTATTAACGGTAAATATGACGATCATGGAAACCAATCAGCAACAAGTAACAAACGTTTTAAAAAAGAAATGTTTATAATGTAATGTCATCTTTCTTTTGTTTTGACTATTGTTTGTCTTTTTGTGTTTCCTTATTTTGTTTTCCTTGGTTCATATCTTGATATTTTCATTGAATCATGGAAATGTTATTTTTTTTTGTTAACTACGATGATAAATACTAATAAAATTACGTAAAAGATTCAGATTAGATGATAGTTTTATACTGGATTGGAAAAGTAGAACTATTTAAATATTGAATATTCTGAGAATAATTGAAAACGTTTAGAAGACTTTTAGCAATCTTTTATTCCAATTTTTTCTTTTGAAAGAATGAGTTGAAAGCATAGGAAGATGAGCATATAATTTTGGCAGTACACATATAAGCGTACCATAATTGCATCTAATTTATCTGAATTGAACAAAACTTGAGGGTGTGGGTCTCTTCTTAACCCACAACCTTACACCCACACCCACACCCAAAAGAGTCGAGTGTTTGTTTTCTATCATTTTTAGATCGAACTCTTCTCCAAAATCAGGGTACTCATTCGATAGGATAAACGAATAAGCTCAGATCGCGAGTTTTTGAAAAAATCTATTCACGATCAATCGCGTAGTTTCAACTGATCAATGACTCAAATGTTACTTTAAGAAAGCATGAATAACATGACGTGTGTAATTCGATAGATCTGCGACGCTTCCAATTCGACCTTAAAAATGGCATGGTGACCGCGACCTAGTGAAATTAGCCGTCAGCACTCGAATCCTTAATCAACACAAGTCGGAACATTATTCTTGGAAGTGGAAATGTCAATTCTCAACACAAAATTTGATTAAATAAAATTCTGTTGAAAATCATGAATATGATGATATTTCATTATCTTGTTTAAGTAATACTTATACTGTAAGCATTCAAGTAAACTAATGATTAATTGTTGTCTCGATTGGTTATGATAAATAAGAAATATCTTACTTACTTTGAACAGAATTAACAACATGAAGAACAATCATTGCTATTAATTTAGCTAAAATCATTGGTGAAAAAATTGAATTCCACGTTCCACGTACAATTATTTGTCTATTAGCACAAAACTGAAAAAGTTCCATAGTTTCAGGATTTGCTGATGGACATAAAATCTTATGATAACTATCCCATGCTTGTTGACGACATGTTTCTGAACAATATAATTCAAATGGACAAAAAGAACATGGCACAAGTGTAATAGGTGGCCAATATTCTTCTATTTGTCGTTGTAATTTCTCTGGCATGCGTGACCATGTGGTTTCAAAATAAACAGCTGGAGTTAGTAAAGATGTTGTACATGTTGCGCATGCTGGTGATATTGATAGAGTATCCACTGTTTGTGCATGAACAAGAGGAATGTCGGTAAAAATGTCTTCGCCTGGTGATATCACACGCTTAGAATAAATACCTATAGGAGAGAATAATAATAATAAAGCATTTTCTATTGATTGGAGTACAGAGAATAAAACAAACCTTTGCCTCGTTGATCAACACGCATATCAATCATTGGATATTGCGCTAGATAATTATTAAAAAACCGAGCAATCCGTGCTTGTTCAAGTTTAACATTTAGATCACTATTGTTTGAACGACAAACATGAATAGCTTCGGAAAACCAACGTTGTGCAACAGCAAAAACACGTAACTTTTTACAACATTCACCACCGATTTTCCATATTTCAAGTGGTCGTTGTTCTTGAGGAATTTTCCAACATTCATAAAAAGCTTCTTCAAAACTTTCAGCTGCATGTTTTTGTTTAGCACGTTCAACTTTGAAATCAAGTATTGCTAGTGATAACGTCGATGCTGACGCTGTTATTGCATCATTAGTTGAATCTTCATCTGAATGTAGAACTGTTCGACGTATATGCAGTATTAAATCTGATTCTTCTTTCGATGTAAATCCAACAAATTGATTCATCGTTGATGGTAAATCATTCGCAACGGCTACAAGCGTTCGATCATCATTGGCATCGTCTCCACTCATTATCGGTTTTGCTTTCTTTAGATAGTTATGAAGAGAATATCACCTAGATGTATATACTACTATATTTATCTGCCGGTTTTGTCTTTTTCTTTGTTCTTTTTCCTTTTTTCCTTTTTCTCCTTTTCTCCATTGGTGATACTAATGGAAATCGTTGTGCCTATTCCATATGCATAGTAGAACGTAACATATAATGACCGAGTTCGTCTTACGCTTGCTGTGTATTTCTATATTTGTTCTTAGATGAAGAAAAATGCGAAATAAACAGATCCCCCCAGGAAACATGTACTTTTTTTTTCTTTCTTTCTTTCTTTCTGCTCTTTCTTTCTTTTGATATTGCGTTACACGAGAATAGCATTGCTATGATCAAGAGAGGAAAAAAACATATGTTGCTCAGATCAGTTAGATATAACTGGAAGAAATATTCTCTATCATTCTAAAGTGAATGAGATCTTACGGTTTCCTTTTTATTTACGAGCTATGCCAACTAAAAAAGCTATTGATAAAAATAATTCAGTCTTCATTGTTTTCATGCTTTTTCTTTTTCTGGGCAATCCGGTTGCTGATTTGGATGAGCCACTTTAAATGCTTCAATAGAATTTAATCTTTCTTCAATCGATGGAATAAGTAAATATTTAGTTAAATCAATTTTCCATCTAAATGATAAAGAAGAGACTAAAAACAATGAATAAATACATGAATTTTCTACCGTCGTGCGTGATAGAGTTGTGGTATAAGACAACAATCAGCAATGGAAAGTTGATTACCTACACAAAATTGTCCTGCCGATTCCTCTAGAGCTTTTTCTACGGCTAGAATAAGAGCATTATATAGAAATATCAATCAATCATTTGCTTGCCATCAAGGCCAGTTTTTATATAATGACGTGCCCATTCTACTTTTTTGTCTTCACCAACGCGTTTTAAAACGCTGATGTTTTGCAAAGGCTTGTTAATACAAAAAAATAAAATGTTGACGACATGAACCAATATTAGAAAATTTTTATAACAATTACTTGAATACCAGATGCGATTATTTCACTAATCATACGAGCCTATAAATCAATAGACACTATGCATTGTTCAATGTTGATAATAAGCTCTTTTTACGAAACCTTGGATTGTATCTAACCTGATATCGTTGGTATGGGTTATCTGGTAGGAGTCTTGGCATTTTATATGTCTCATCAAGATATTCGATGATAGGCAGCTGAATAAAAGCAAGAAAAAGAGTACGAACAGAAAATAATGTTGAACGATTTAAAATCATCTTACTGATTGTGTCAGTCGTTTACCATCGATGAGAAGTACCTGAATAAAGATAGCTGGCAAGCTTATAACGAATCATCGTCTTTTTTGAACCAACGTGCATTAAAAAGAAATCAATTCATGCGAAACAACTATTCAAAGATATTTTTATGGCATTAACAAAAACAAAATTTCACATAATTTAAAACATCAGACACAAGCTTTATCTATTTTTCAATCATACCAATGCAAGCAAGTACATGAATAATAAATTTCTAAATTTTAGATTATACTCATCAAAAAACTGATGGCATTTTATTATTATCGAATACATAGGTATGGTGACGCTCTTCAGGAAAGGGCCTAATTTTGTCTGTATTATCGAAACTAAGATAAATGTATATCAAGACAACCCAAGATTTGATCTTGCATATGATGACATCATTTTTTATTCGACACTTCCTTGTGTGTGAAAAACTCTTAATCATTCCTGTCATCACTTCGTTGAAAGATATATTACTTTCAGAAAATCCAGCCAATTATATTTTACTTACTGGAATTTCACCTTTGGGATTAATTCTTTTATATTCATCAGTTGACTACAGCAAAAGAAAACGAACCAAGATGCAATCGACTATTTGAAATAATACTCAACAGCTTCTCCTTTGAGTAAATCAACTGGTTGAATTTGATAAACAATATTCTTCAAATTTAAAGCTAATCATATACAAATAAAAACGTACACGCCGATCACATAGAATATTTCATCTCCGTACACGTACCGATTCGAACTCGATATGAACATGAACTACGATAATACGAATATAATATTGGCTATTATATAAAAAGTGAAGATTTCATTGTTACTTTCTAGACAAATTATTCACTTACTTTCACGGCTGCACTCATCAAATGTATGAAATCTAGAGTAAGTGAAAGAGCATTTCGTTTTTCTTCTTTGAATTTATATTTATTTCTTATCTTGAACTTGTTTATATCGATTTTGTTTTAGCTTTGTTTTTTTATAACCATACACAAAAAAAAGGGAGAGAAAATTTTCCGGTCATAATGTATAAGAGTGATAAACAAAAGGACATGGTTAGACAATCGATCGAAAGACTCAAATATTAGTTCAGACATAGCCATTCACAAACATAAGCACACTCAATAGAATCACAGTAATACGTCAAAATGACTAAGCATCAAAGAATTGTATGACAACCAATTTTGAATTTGATAATCAAATGTTGCTGTTAACCATAATGTACGAAGAACGCCGAGACGATTCGTATTCAAATATAACGTTTTACCTCGTCTAAAACAATCGAATAAAATGCTCTCCATTTTTATGTATGGATATTAAAACTTACTTAAGTTTAGGATCTTCTTCACCATGCTGATCAAGATACAGTGAATGCCAATAAGCATATGTATCAGCTAAACAAATAGTAATCAATGTTGTCTGAACATCCAACATAACAGCAGCTGGATGACCACATTTTGAAAGATGCTAAAATAAAATTGAAGCGAATAAAATATTTTTCATTCGTGTAGACAAGATTATTTTACTTGATTATATCTTTGTCGTTGATAAGTACAGCACAATGAATGCCAACGTTTTAAATGTAATTCACCGCAAATAAGGCATAGCAATGTATTCGATGACGCTTTTTTACAATATTCACAATGATATTCATTATGCATATGAAATATATCGTCATATTTTGGTGGTAAGTCAATAAATACTGGAGAATAAAAATGTGGACGCCTAATACATAGTATCTGAGGAAAGAAAAACAGTTTGAATATTATCATTTATTCAAATGTAAGAATTACTTTCATAGCACTACGATGATGTTGAGCAGCTCTTTGAAATTCCTGTAACCAATGTGTTACTAATGCGCCTGGTTCATTACAGAACCATTTTGGTATAGCTAAACCGTTTAAATCCAATTTTAAATTTAAAAACTTTGCTAATACTAATGATGAAGTTGGTTCGCCGGTCTATGAAATAAATTTGCATGTGTTAAATTTTGTTTTAGCGAATATGTGACTTACTATCCAAGGCATTTCTTTTGAATATAATCGATATTTAATTAATGCTGTAATTTTTAAAAATTCTACGCTGTTATTCATTAAATAAGTTTCAATGGGACCATCGATTGGGTTTCTATTCATTATTTGATCGTTGATAAATATGTCTTGTATATATTTTTTCGTAAGATCCAGATAACTATTTAGATCCTAATTAACAAAATTTAAAAACCAGTCGACATCCTTTTTCATTTGTAAAGAAATTTTACTTTTAAATCTCTTTTTTCTTGTGGTCGCTCGACGACTAGTGTTATAAGATTTTTAAAAACTTCGATATTAAATACTATTTGAACGATTGTATCGAATTCATCTAATTGAAATTTAAAAAAAATTGATTAGTGAAAGCTGTAAGAATAAGTTAGTTGTACCAGAAGTTATATTGATTGGTGCACTCATTAGTAATTGAAGTAACATGGTAATTGAGTCACGTAAAAGAACAGGTGCTAAAGGTTGATGAGGATCGAATACACTAGAGAGAAGCAGGATATTCAAAACAAGACGAAGGAGACTTTTATGTGTTTACTCAGTCATAGTCGATGGGCATTGTAGTCCAGTTAATTCTTGCCATAGATGCTGATGATAAAATGGATAGCCAAGATGGTGAAGTTCATGAAGAATTTCTTTTCAGTGCAAAGAGAAAGTAGAGTAGTTGAAAGAAAAATCATTATATTCTTACTATAGAATGATTTTCGCACGTTTTTTTGATCGATTCTATTTGCACTTTCATAGAAAAGTTGTTCATGTACAAGTTGAGCTCTAATAACGTAAAATAATTTCTATGAGATTTCAATAATTCGAAATTTGAGTTCTCTCTCGAGCTGCAGTTCGTCGTTTAATAAGAGAGGAAATCTAGTTTTGAACGCAATTTTTATCTGTGCCATTGTGTTGGCATGCGGAAAACGTCGATTTATGCATCAATTTCAGTATTCATCTGATGAATATTTTTCGATTCAATGAACTCTGAGAAAACTGCACTTATTCAAATTTCGGCATGTCACCCATTTTTGTTTTTCATTCTTGTATTATCTACCTCAATGTTCCGCAATCGAATTCGGCTGCACGTTGTTTCATTGATTGATGATTTGGTATTAAAATGGGAATATTCGGAGATAATTGTTCTGTTAATGCACATTTAGCTGCGAGACCAGATAAAAACGCAAGTAAACAACTATCATCCGAGGATCGTTTCTAGAATAATAATAATATATAATTTTTTATATTAAATCTTGATTTTCTTCTCGTACCAATTTTGGACGTGATGGATTCATCATTGCTTGATGGAGTCGTTCAATAAGTGATAGATTTTGTTTATTATCTTCTATGTTTAAATAATCATTAACATCAAATAATGGAATTAACGCATTAGCTGTCTGACGACAAAGTGGACAACGAAAATTTGTATTCGATGGAAGAAGATTATTAATCGATACTTCAGCGGCTTCTTGATTCTAAGATATAAGAGAATCTTGCCTAATAATATGATTGAATCGTTTTCATCATGTCTCATCTATGATCGATTGTATATTGAATTGAAAACAGACCTTTTCTTCTACACAAATTTCTGATAATCAAATACTGCTTCAAAACCATTTGTAAGTCATATGCAGACATCTTTTGTTTTCTCTTAGTAAAACTATCAGTTCATCTAATACTATAAGAACGAGTGCAACGGGAAACATCTGTCCGAAGTATACAATGGATAGTAGCAGAACACAATTAGAATAGCTGAAGACTATAAAAGAAATTCTACTTGATTCAGCAGAAAGTATTTTTCGTTAGTTCTGAGGCATTTTTGCTCTGAATAAATGACTAGTTTCTTTTATTTTAGAAGAAAAAAAACTTCGATATTAATATTTCACTGAAGCAAAAATTTTAAAGGCTATCTAGTCTAGCTCTTACATATGAATCGGAATGGATGTATGCATTCAATTTATCTAATTCTCTTTACACATCTCATGAAACAGAGTTGTTAACATAGTAAAAATGTTGATGTGTCATTTTTCATTTCCCACATGCTGACAGATACAAATGTTTATGATCTGCGATAAGAAAGATAAGTTTGTGTCTCAGGCTATAATCGAGCACATGTGTCATGGGTTCCTATTATCGTTGTTCGGAATCAAGTCAAGCAATTCTCATCTCGATAATCGAATTTTAATGAGCATTTTGGTTTCAGGCCTATTCGAAAACCGATCCGAGAAAAAAAACACAAACCGGATGTAATGCTTTAAGATACGATGAAAGACAATCGACATGAATCGAATGACCACACGACTGAATAAGTAATGAACGGAGATGATGATCATTTTGACAATAATTTGCAATATACTACAAAAGTAAAATAATTATTTAGGAAAAAAACAACTTTTCATTAATCTCATTTACCGGATGCCCACTAATCAGTGTTAAATTTTGTTTTGTTATACTTAAATAGGTTTCCAGAGACATTTTATTCGAACTGTACGATAAAATTTTCTGTTCATGTTCATCTAGATGTGCAAATTCTAGACTAGGCACTAAACGAATAAACATAGAGAAAAGAAATTTTTTTCTTAATTTTTTTCTCACAAAGTGATAAACATGATGTTCCAATAAGACCAATCGGTGAGTGACTGTCAGTTTTCGTTAATCGACATATACAGCATTCGTATTCGATTAGATTTTGAGTATGAATCGACATGCTGGACGCTGCTCCTCCTGTACTTGCTGCTTGTTCGCTTGAAAAATGTTCATTAAATAATGATGGTGATGCACCTGCCTTCATCACATTTTCATCTGAATTTTGTTGACTAATAAATTTCTTTTGTGATTCAGCTATTTCAGCTAATAATTTTAATTGGCGATTTTTTGCTCGTTGTCGTCTAATTGAATTTAAATAAAATAAAAACAATGCACGAAGAAGATGATCCGTAATTAACGAGACTATAGCACTGAATACGGAATGAAAGGTCGTACAATCTACAGACTAATATTCTTTTTTTTTTATCATGCTATGATTATTATATCAATCCTTTTTATGATTCTTCAGTATACAGACAGTTTATCATATATCAAAATGTAATATTGTTCTCACAGACTTCTCTTTTCTTTTTGGGTTTAATGAATGATGTTTTCGAGATTTAAATCAAACCATAGTCCGAACTAAAACTCACAATGTACCATTTCCTCACTGATATTTACATCTCCACCCAGACCCGCACTGAAATATGAAACTATCAGTTCGCCCGTTAATGTCTAGTAATTAATTACTTTTGTTCGGCTGTTAAATCAGCCGACTTTGTAGTCGTTGGTTGTTGTTGATGAAATTGAGTTTTGAATTTTTCGATTTCTTGTGTAATGGTCGTACGACATTGTTCATTCATTTGTGACGATAAAGAAAATATATTTGTAATAAAATGAAATCTATCGCCAATACGTGACGTATCCTTTGGATTAGTTGCTTTTTGTGGACAAATATTAGTGATCAGATCAAAGAAGTCATTTGAACGTTGTTTGTGAAGAATTTTCAGTAGAAGTGTAATGATACTTTCTGTTTCTTGTTCATTTTTTAGTGGATTAAACGATATGAAAACTCGAGTACAAATATTGGTGAAAATATTGTTTGTTTTGAATGCAGCAATGTCTTCCTAAATAGTAAATTAGATTAGAAAGATTTCTTTTTATTTAGAAACTTTGTTACATCCCTAATTGTAACTGATTCTATTTTTCTTGGATTTCTATGAACTGACTACTTTAGAAGGCGAATTTTTATTATTGCCATATACTTGTAATACAGAACCTGTCTGATTGAGGTGAATATCCTTAGCAAATTATAATGGCACAGAGATTGTCTTTCACATTTAATCGATAAAAATTTAGAGTTAACGATTTCGATGAAGAATATCCAAAGAAGTTCACACAATGTTTCACTATTTTAAATGTGACTGCAGCAAACCTATGTTGACCTAAACAGTATCATCTAGCCCACGAACGTCCTAAAACTATGACTCGTCAACAGAATTACTGTTTACATCTTATATAGACTCACGAGACTAGTTGAGGCATGTAAAGCTTCTCCCCACATTAATACACCCTTATAAACGTCTATCACTACTCTCTGGTAGACTTTAACATTAGAAAAATATCAGTTAAATATTTGAGAGTATTTCTGAATAAAAAAATATAGCTCATATTAGAAGACTAGGATTTTAACGAAACCATGGAACAATTTTCAATTCGTTTCATGATAATCTTCTGTGCTTACTGAATTTTCATCAACTGCCATTGGTGAACGGTTATCACCCTAAAACATGAATAGCAAAGGTTCGTTTCTAGTAGGTTTAGTCATAAACATACATTAATTATTGACAATTCAAGAAGGTATATTGTGAAATATAGAATATTTTCCGTGATGGATTTGTCGTTTAAATACTAAATGAAACAAATCAACATAGTAATGAAAAGAAAAGTTCTGTTTTTGTCTTCAGGAGACATACAGCATGTAAACATAAAAATAAAAAGTGATGCAGAACGCCAGATCGTAAACTATTTTGAACATTTGACATTTGTTGATGATCATATGAAGGTATACGAAATGGTGGCCAAATCGAATAATCAGATTTAAATAAACCTTCACGTTTAACACTAATGAAATATTTGAATATTATATCGTTGAAATAAAAAATTCATTATTCAAGTTTTTACTAGTTTGTAAAACGTTCAAGTGAATTTTGAAATTGTGAACGTTTTGTACATCGCATTAATACGTGTAATGGATCATATTCAGTTTTGAATAATGTATCTTAAAATGAAAAGAAAAAATACGAAATAATTGAAATTCTACAAAATTACCTTTAATTGTGTATTTGCCTTGTTGTAAATGACCCATTAATTCAACCGAAGGTGTTTGAAAATCAGATACCTAGAATATTTTCTTTCTTTAAATTCTGTAAACTTTGGATTCGAATGGATATAGGCACCCATGCTAGCTATAATTTAGCTGAATTTTTTATTGTCGAAATGTGAAGCATTCTTATTTACTTCTACACGACAGATTTTAAAATCAATATCGACCTATTATTTAAATTTTTCTGTTTGGCACATGATAGAAAATTACTTCAACAATTATTTGTATCATATCTAAAATACGAAGCCTTAAATCAACACCCTTTCATCAATTCAGTTCGTCGCGAATACTAAACATATTGGAGGTCTACCAAGTTTTTCTTGTTTACGCTATTTGCGATCTACTTATTTATGCAAGAAAAGCATGAAACTAACTTGTTGAAGAATAACTTCAATGTCTCTTCGATTAGCACTCAATGGTGATGGATCAGGAACATTCTCTTCGACTTCACTATATAATCGATCGGCTACAGCTAATGTTGTTACAATTTCAGATCGTATGTGTTTCGCTTCACGAACAGCTAGAAACAAAGCAAAGTTCTTTTGAAAAGCTATTATTTAAAAAAAAAAATTTTCCTCCTACCAAGATTTGGTTGAAAACCAATAATGGCACATAATGCTATTAAAGCACTTTCTAACATTGATATTTGTTGTGATGAATCTAAATTTGATGCAGTTTTTGAATGAAATAGCCATGAGTAAACATGAAATCTAGTGAAACAAAATGATTCGTTTTCGAAGAAAAACAATATATACAATTGTTACCTTTTAAGAAAAGTCTCGATGAATAGATTCGGTTCAACATAACACGAGATTAACTATTGAAAATGAAATTAAAAGAAAATTTTCTCAGAAGAAACTCAGCTCTACTTGTAAGAGAAACAGATCTGCGTCATGCATTGATGATGAAAAGGCACTTTTTGCATAGGTTTTTGCTTGAACAGTTACTTGTTCTCCATTGCGTAGCCAAATACTCGATAAAACTTCATAATATCCACACTTTATAAGAACAAAAAAAAGTACATCTGAATTTTATTTCCATTATCGATTCGACTTACAATTGTTCTCAATGGACAAAACATTAAATTCAAAAGAGTATTTTGATCATTAACAGGTAAAAATGATGATGGATCAATATTAAATTGATGTATAGCATTATAAGTAAATACAGATAAGTAACGATGTAATGGTAAATGAAATGTCAGTTTCCAATCATCCATAAGCTTTGAATCGAAACTTAATGATCGCAGCCAATCATTAATACTATCAATAATTTGTTTAATAATACAAATTAATTTTTCTGATGAATACTGAAAATGAAAAGCAGTTATTAGTGCACATCCTATGCGAGTAAATGCGATTCGTTTCAATTCATCCTTCGAAACTACAGTTTGCGGTGTATAGAATCTTAGAAATTGTTCTCGCACATATCTAGTCGCAATCTATGATTTAGTTCCTGATTGTTTTTGGTTAGTAGCAAGCATGCACTATGAAAATCTAAATTTTTACTAGTACACTGCAAAAGTTCGTTTCAATTGGATTTCACAAAAAGATTGTTTTGTACTTATTTACATTTGGTTTTAGATGACCAACAAAACACCACATCGCTGCTGCACTTATTTCAAGTTCAATTGTAAATGCATACATATATGCCTGTGGTTCATATTCAACATGTTGAGTTAGCACACGTTCATTAACATTCATACCTAAAATAAAATTAAAAATGTTTAAGAAAAAAACAGTGTTTTGCTTTTGTTTGCTGACCTTGAAACAATGTAAGAAATCGTAACCATAAAATTAGATATCTTTTATTTTCAAGTATTGTAAAAGCGATTTTTTCTTGAGATAATATATTAACAAAATCACTTAATAATGGCCAATAGACATTTTTTACTATTAAACGGTGTTCAACATCTACAACCATACCAGTATTTGCGTCGTTGGTTACTGTATTAAAAAAAAGCAAATTCCACGTAATTAGAACGAATTATGATTAAGGCTTTCGTGATTTTTACTAATATTTTTGATTAAAAAAAAACTCTTCTCACTGAATGGAACGGTAATGTAGAGATCATCAACACCCGCAATTACCTCTACATCCAAAGTTGTGTTTCATGAGATAAATATTATTTTAAAATAATAAAGAATCTTATTACAATCGTCTGTACTGAATTTTCTATTCCTTTTACTTTTCATAGAAATCTTCCTTTCGAGCATTATGCCGTATTAAATTTAATTTTAGTTGATACATACATGCTAACGGATGTGTTTTGAGTATGTTTTCATCGTCGTCATCATCATCAGGTTTATCATGATCCACTGATGGTACAAACATATGCCATATACATGAGAGTATAACTTCAATTAAATGACATTTTTCCATAGCATATTCAGCAATGATATTTGAGGAAAATAATTGTACACTAATGTGAACAAGACGTGATGGTATCTCACTGGTTTCCGCAAGTGATTCACCAATAAGTGATTGAGCTATAACACCGTAGAAGCGTAAAAATGTTTCAGTAAATAAAAGCTAAAACAAACAAAAAAAAATAGTCATTATTTTGTAAAGAAAATTTTCTATTTCTAATGTTATTACTTTAAAATTAAAATCAGGTAATAAACTAAGTAAAAATCGTATAAGTGCTTCTGGTAAACCTGCTGTAACACACCACATCATAATTTCATCAAGCATCGTACGAATACTTGTATCGAATGGTATTAAACTATGTGCCGTTGAATCATTGATTAATGAATCAACAAAATATGTCACGGGTAGCGCTGCAGTTTCAGCAGTTAAATATTCATACTGATAAAGTTTTACCATCGATGCTAGAAACAAAGAAATGATATTTAAACAAAAATAGCATTATGTTTTCATACGGTCAGTAATGAATTCTTCATAAAGCTTTTTATCAGTTAAAGCATGTGTTATATACATTTGTATTGCTGAACCACCATTGGATAACTGATTGAGTATTTCAAGTAGCTTTTCGTCCGTTACTATATCGCCTAAAATATGTTTAAATAAACTTTCCTATTGTAACAAAAGCAGAATATATTTACCACTAATGGCACTCATACGTAGAGCACGTATGAAAACTTTTAATAAATATGGAACAAATAATTCAGCACAACAAATTAATTCACGTGGTACCATTTGTGTTTTAGGTCGATTTTCACCATGAAAACAACAGAATCTATTATTAAATAAACTTCTACTAGAATCACTTTTTTAGCAGATGAAAATCAGTTTCAATTGAATCGAACGGAATTTATTCAACGAATATTCATCATATTGTTATGATTATATAGTATTCAGGTTTAAAGTTGCCATATCTTAGTATGAATTACTCGTACCACAGTTTTTTCAAGAAAACTATTCAGTGACAAAAATATTTTGTTGTAGCAAATATGCTCTGATATGCGTAGGATTGGTGCACATTTATGTTACAGTGTCAAAAATTAGTTTAAAAAGAATATTTATCTTTTTTCTCCAAATAAAAAATTGGTTTACCAGACAAAATGAATATATTCTAGGTATTTACTAGATATGCACACCAGATGTTTGTTTCAATTATAGTTAATATTCGATCGAAAAATGATTTATTTCAAAAGCTAAAATATATTGTAAATTTTAAACCAATGATACGAATCAAACGGTGAATTACTCTTTTTTTCCGAAACTGAAGATGAGACAATATTTGTTTGAACATATTTTCTTTTTTATTTTAGAAATATCAAAAATTTATCCAAGCCAGTAATACTTCATAGGCACTAAATATACCTTAATCTCCGTACATTTCTGTGCGTGCTCACTAATAGCAGTTTTTACTTTAAATTTGATTATTCAGTAGTGATAGTTTCCTATATCACCTGACTATAGTATAAACTTGGCAATTTCCCAATAGAAAAAGCACACTGTACTGTGACCGAAAAGCAACAGGGTACGCCTATGCCGATCGTGTGATATTTTAATGTATACTTTCGGTGCGCACGCGCTTTTTATTCTCTAAATAAACTAATGAAAAGATCGATACATATACTTGAATGCGTTCGTTTGGCAGTGAAGCCAAAAACAGAAAAATATATTTTAAACTCAATTGGATTCATAAGAAAAATCTCTCGGAGATTCTTGATGCGTAATAAAGCGAATAACTCTATAAAATAAATTACCCGAATGCATGCATAACACTTGCATCTCCACAATCGCATGCTCCACCAGCTTGACTTTTAAACATATTAAAATTATGTCCTTCATGATTTCCATTTTGAAAACATTGAGCACATATACTCATGCATGGTGATATCGAACATGTTTTACATCGGTATGCAATAACATTTGCATTCCAAACTAAGCCACATATTTGTGCACTATTATAATGACGAACTAGAAATAAATGTAAATAATTTTAAAATGAAATTTATTTCTATGATTTTAATTAGCTCTTACTTCTTTCAATGAATTCGTTCATGGATCCATCGAAAATCTTTATTCAAAAGAAATACAATACAAAGAAATACGTATTATGCTTTTGAAAACAAGAAAGAACAGAAAAAAATAAACATATAACCCGTGGTGACTCATACGATAACACAACAGGAAAACTAAAAGCAACAGAACGAACGAGCGAGTGCATTTTTGTTGTTTATTATCATTTTCTTCTAGTTGGTCGATGATCAAACAGATTTCTCGTTCGATTCCGAAATTATATTTTTCTTCATCAGCAACTCAATTAAAATCTCCCAATCATAATTATGTTCCATCTCATCAAAAACCATCAACAGATGATATTGATAAATTTCAAAAATTTATATCTAATTCACAACGATTATTTATTATAACTGGTGCTGGTATTTCCACTGAATCAGGCATACCAGATTATAGATCAGAAGGTGTTGGACTTTATGCACGAACTACAAATCGTCCTATGTAAGAAAATACATACTGATTAAATTCATAATTTCTTTACGTAGGATGTATCAAGAATTTTTAACAAATGCAAAAAGATATAAAATGTATTGGGCTAGAAATTATATTGGTTGGCCAACATTTTCTTCTTTTCAACCCAATGAAACTCATAAGATATTTGCTGCATGGGAAGTAAAAAGAAAAGTATATTTCTATCAATGAAAAACAGATGATTTTAGTATTTTTCTTTTTATCTTCAAAGGTATTTTGGCATGTTACACAAAATGTAGATAGTCTATTGACAAAAGCCGGTTGTGAACTGCTAAGTGAATTACATGGTTGTAGTGCAAGAGTTGTTTGTGTTGATTGTGGTTATAAAAGTCTAACACGTGAAGAATTACAAGAAATTATTTTAAAGCAAAATCCGAACTGGACAGCACAATCCAATACTATAAATCTAGATGCTGATGCTCATTTAAATGAAGAGCAGCTAGGTGATTTAAAAGTAAAATAAAACAAAAATCTTAAATTCTAATATCGTAATTGTATTATAAATTCTAGTCGCCTCGATGTTAGAACCGAGTGAAACTAGATGTAACAATTTTCGGTGATAATGTCGATCGTCGTTTAGTTGATTTTCTAAAAGAGCAATTAAGCAAAAGTGATTCTGTTCTTGTTGCTGGTTCATCACTAGAAGTTATGTCTTCATATCGTTTTATTCTTGTTGCACAACAATTAAAAATGCTGATTGCTATTTTTAATATTGGTCGAACACGTGGCGATCATGCAGCTCAATTGAAAATCTCTACTCGTTGTGGTTCAATATTACCTCTTTTACAAATCAATTCATAAAATATCATTTATTTGTGCTATCAACTCTGATGAACAGATGGGATTATTTATGTTATTTACCGATGTTATCATCATTTTTTCGTTGACAAATATAATAATTTACAATTTCACTATTGCGATAAAATCTCTGTGATGGCGAAAATTGGAGTCTATTGACTGTTTAGACTAGCAAAGGCTCAAAAGCATTTCAATATTTATGGTTTCTTCAAAATAGTTTGCTGGCAGACATTAAATGATTTATTCTTTTTATTGACAGGAGACTATTGCTTCATCTATAGTTTTATAGCAAGAACTATTATTCTAAACCTATACCGTATCATAAAATTTTTTAATTTAATTTAGCTTCGAATTTCTTTCAATTCATTATTATAAAAAAAAACAGCGTTGCTCGCAATAAGTAATACAATGATAATGTTTATTTTACATTCTAAAATTCACTATATTAAAAAAACTCTTCTGATTACTCGATTGTAACAATAATTTTTATAGATGTCACCGGTTAGAAGAATATTTTAACTCTTCTAAGGTAGCTATTCATTTAGTGAGTGTTCCACTTTGTGTATAGAAGAACTTTACAAATAAATGTTTTAGGAAAGAGATATCATTTTCCGACTTTTCTCCATGGTACAGTATCCATGAGATTAAGTTACCCGTCACCGTCATACTTAGTCAAATAATCCATTTACCATGAATAAAATCTCAGCTTTCCAGTGCATTGGTATATATGATGTGATGTGATGCGGCACTAGCTACGAAAATATTTTCTTCTCATACTAATGAAAAAAGAATAGTAATTAACGGTTGTTCGTTTCACGTTATAAATGAAAATATTACACACAACTAGAACACGATGAGGTTCATTATAACTATCTGGCAGATCATTTTCTCTATTATGAAATGTGACTTAAATATCAGAAGATATTAAAATAATACTGAAATGCAAAACTATTTCAATTTCGGTTGTCACCCGTTCATATATGTTCACACGCTAATCTTTGGCTAATTTTTTACTGAAATATCTAAGAAATAGTAATCATGATTGAAAGATTTAACTGCATCTTATCGACAATTTAAACAAATAGAATAATGTTTAAAAAGTGATCAACCCCAAGAATAACTTCAACGATTTATGTTGAGTTGAACTCACAGTATCCTTTTGTAGAGACCGAGTAGTTTATAGGATTTAAAAATATTTTGTGAGATCGATGAAATCATTTGAAAAAATGAAATCGAAACCGAGATAACATTAACCTTCAATGAGTCGACCGTTTTCTCGTTTTGGATTGCTACACTCACGGTTCTAATCTTCAAGTTGAACAACTGAATGAAAACTAACGGAAACAATATATTCTTATAAAAGGTTTTCTTCTAGAAACTTAATCAATTTAATTAAGGATTCTGTATTAATCGTAAAGAGAAAAGTTGAATTGTCACACCCGAAACGAAAAAGTAATTGATAGGCCAAAATAATTTAACACAAAATATGTACTACAGCATCTCCTATCGTATGCATGAAATGCTCAGTAATCTGGAGATATACGAGCATGATCCTTACTATCAAAAGGCGAGGCTTATATACATACTCGACATACTATTATCACATTTATTTAAGTTCACTCCTTCTCATGACTTTAATTGAATAGGGCACATTATTAGACAATAATGAACAGTTATCTTCTCAAGTATTATCTTGGTATTTTAATTTGACTAAGAAGACTTTCAATTAGTGGATGATGTTATTTTATTTTGAGCGAATCATAGACCTGAAGAGGATGAATAAAGAAAATAGAAAATGCGTCTTGAATTTGATATCAACTAAATTCATCACACAGGATATTTATAGATCATACTTTTGATATGGCAGTGAAAGAGGATGAACTACGGGTTGGAAACTCAAATTTGGTTCATGCTGGATCTGGCTTGTTTCAGATTACCTTTTATGATTAAAATTAAATGAACGTAATTTTTCAGCCAAAAAGTAAATCCGGTCACCACATTCGCCAATGCAAGTCTTTCTCCAACGTCTTGGCAGAAGAGCAGAAAAAATAAAAATATTTGTCTCGCCTGTACAGACAACGGAAAGAGAATGTTAGTGTGCTGATGAGTTTAAGGTCAAAAACAATTTTATTCGTTCGACACACAAAATTTAAAAAAAAATAAATGTCGACTTCAAACCATTCTCTTGTTTTCTTATATGATAACGTGGTAGTAATTGAAACTAAATCAATAATTTCTTATTCCTTTCAGTCGCTACCTGAAGGTTACACATTTTAGGGAAAGTTGAAATTGTGATAATATTAAACCAACTTTTTAAAAATTACTCACGGCTGGAAGCAGATTTAAAGTAATTTAATTAAAATAAACAACGGCTCGTATCGATTTATATTACAATTTAAACATGATGAGTCTTTGAATATAACATCGTTCACAGATTAAACGTAAAGTATACAAGCATAACCCTTCTAAATTGCGCCTATGTATGTTCCAATAAAAAAAACGAATGGATAATTTTTGTTAGCTTAAGTATTCCTCGCAATAGAATAATACTTGTCTTATTTTGGAATTTAATAGCCTAAAGCTTCACAATTTTACTTCGTTTGTTCATAAAGATACTTTCAAGCATAATTTACCGCTATCAATGCATAGCGAACAGTATGGATACGTCAACAGGAGACCACTTCGTCTAGTAAACAAAACAAAACATAATCAATTCTATTTTATACTTCAGAAGATTCTTCGAAAACTTACTCACTTGCTCGATCAATGCCAGTCGTGAACAAATCAACAATATATTCGTCAGAATGTCGAATATGTGACATTCCGACTTCCCATATGAATTATGAGGTTGTTTCATGTTCACCATGCAAAATTTTCTTCAAACGAAATGCTCATCTAGGACAAGTCAACTAAAGATTTTGCATATTGTTTTTGGGTCTGGGTCTGGATGTCGTATTTCTAGAACGTCGTACCACCTACCGACACATACATCAGGGGCGTTCGCCGTTGTCGTCAATCCCACCATCAACCACGCGCACACCCCACATTTACTGGGAAAAATATCGAACAAACGAGAAGGAATGACTATAACTATAGTTGAGCCTTCGAAACGAATATCGAAATTTAAAGCTTCTCGTTAACAATAAGATACTTTTATACATACATGCAGTTTTTATTTCTTTTGCTTTGCTTTGCTTTAGATTAGTGCATGAATCATGTGGGATTCAGCTTGTACAATTTGTACAAGAAAATTAAAATCCAATCGTTTACTTTGTTATCGACAAATGGTTGTTAATGTCATTCATCCAGATCATCCATCACTCTCAAAAAAAAACGAAATTCGAAGAAAAGTTGCACAACTTTATAAAAACAACATCAGATCTTGTTTTTCACTATGGTTTTAATATGAATTTTGATGGTGGTATATCAACTGGTTTGGCACTTATCTATGATAGACTTGATTTTGCAAAAAAAAAATTGAACCACGTCATCATCTTGTACGACAAGGTTTTGCTGAACCATAGAAAACAACGCAACGAACGTAAGAATCGAATGAAGAAAGTATGTGGTACTAAGAAAGCCGCGTCAAGAATGCCAAGAAAAAGTAAAGCCACAACAATTGTACGAATTAATATCTGCAAACAAATTGTTTTGTTTTGTTTGTTTTTATCTAACATTGAATGATAAAACAAGGAGATAAAAAACGAAGAAGAAAACGTAATTGAATTGAAAGAAACGGACACTAATCTTATTGGACTAGTTTAGTTGTTAATAAGGATCCATCAATAAACCAAGATCACTGTAGATGTCCATAAATAAGATTTCGATCGAGACGAATGGTTTTTCTTTTTTGTTATTTTCTGGCTGATAACTTTTGACGTACGTTTCTGTTTGGTTATAATACTAATGTAAATGTTTATTGAATAGCAAAAGTTGCTCATGATATTAAAATAAGAGGCTAGTCAGATGCAATGATTATCTTTGATAATTATCTACGGTGGTAATGTCCTGTTTTCCGACGTGCGGCTATATCGACTGAACATGCCTGTATTCATAAATGATTGTAGATACTACCCAGGACGTTCATTCCTACAATCGGATCCAATCGGATCTGAAAATGGGTTGCACCGGATCTTACATGAAAACCGACAAGAGCCAACAGATCCCGTCGGATTCTGGGTTTTGGGGCGAGATTCGGTTCCGTAGGACCAGAATCCGATCGTATCCTGCTCTGGGATCCGGTGTGCCAAAAACGCCTGCTATACTCAACTTCTAAAAAGCTCTTTTACACTAAATAGAATTTTGATATTTTTTAAAATTCTTCCGTCGAACCGTCAATAGTTCCGAAACCCAGAATCCAACTGGATTTCCTCGGTTAGTAGGATGTTTTAAAATCCGATAGAATCCGTCGTCGGATTAGTCGACCTGGGTAGTGAAGTAAAAAGCCATTCAAATTGTGTGCGATCTAGTACTTTATTAGAATAAAAACAAACATCGATTTCGTTTAAGTTAGATTACTGAATTTTATTCTTCTTTAGAAAGAGTAAGTTTTTTAATCTTCTTGTTCTGTCTACATATACTATTGACTATTGCTTCCGCGAATTGATCTATTTTGAATGAGTGACATCTATTCTGAACACATGTTCAGTGTTGGACGGCGGGTGAGCTGTTCACCAATAGATTGCTTTTCTCACGCTTGTTTTAAAGAAAAACAATGAGACAATATTCAATTCTATATGCTTCCGTCATTGTTTTATTTCGAAACAGATCCATTAGTGAAATCATTTGCTGAGATCTAACTTCTCAGTTTCCTTCTGTATTCTGTACCCAGGTCGAACCGACACGGTCGTAAATGTCCGTATACGAAGAAATACGGCGAGATGCATGTTTCAGTATTACGATCGTTTACGATTCCTGTGCATTGAGCCCGTATACGATCTACGTGTTGCTCCGTGCTTTACCGTATATGGTCGTATTTCTCCGTATACGACACGGTGATATACAATAGTGATCCTGAGCCATGTATTACAGTCAAATACGATCGTATATGGACTCCGTAAACCTCGACCTGGGTACCTAAATTGAAACTGATTTATATTTTGTTGATACTTTTGTACTTGGAAAATCTTCGAACGTGTTCGTTTCATGTATTGGTTCATCTTTAATACGAGTAGCAGATGATAATAAAAGTTGATTAATGTGTGTTTGATCAAAAACTTTTTCTGTAAGAATATTAAACATAAGAATTTAATTGATGAAATCTCGTACCTTGTTTTTTATCATTGTCAGTTACTTTTAAATTCAATATACCATTTACGAATTTCTATGACAAATTAGTGATTGATTTCATTAGCAAAAAGAAAGCTCATATTTTTTTTTCTTACTCGAATTTCTTGTGAACTAAACGAAAAATTGTTTGCTGATGTTTCTTTTAGATAATCATCCATGTTGAAAGTTTCTCTTGAAATTTCGTTTTTGAACAATCTAAAAAATTTGTTCAATTATTCATTACTAAAATAAAGAAAATACCCATATCCAAGAAAACGGTGCGTAAACGACGTAAAAACGATATAAAACGTTGAAAAACGGCGCTGTTTTCCGTCAGCTCGGAAAATGAAGAATATAGTGTTAAAAGCGATGGCCGCTTTCTAGCGAAAAAAACGGTCCGTAAAACGAGCTGACGGATTACGGCGAAATAAGGTGAAAATTAATGCCTTATTATACCGTTCTATAGCCGTTTAAGATACTCCTTCCGATGGTTGGAATGATTGTCCTGGGAACCCAGGTCGAGGTTTACGGAGTCCATATACGATCGTATTTGACCGCAATACATGGCTCAGGATCACGATCGTACATCACCGTGTCGTATACGGAGAAATACGACAATATACGGTAAAATACAGAGCAATACGGAGATCTTATACGGGCTCAATGCACAGGAATCGTAAACGATCGTAATACTGAAACATGTATTTCGCCGTATTTTCCCGTATACGGTCGTTTACGACCGTGTCGGTTCGACCTGGGTACCCAAGAAATTTTACTTATATCCAATGCAATCAATACACGAAGCACAAGGGAAATTGAAGATCTAATAGTTGATGGTGTTATTGAACCATATTTACAAGAGGGTAATGGTATAGAAGGAATTTGTTTTTGAAACCATTGTACCAATTAATTTGTTCGATCGATTACCATCAAATTTTCGAAGCAGCGCAACAACAAATGACAATCAAATACAGAAACCACACATAATGATTAGTTACAATCAATCGTCAAGGAAAATGGTCCAAAAGATTTATAATAGTCTTTTTGTAATTTCATTAAATATTATGTCTCTTAATTAATGGATAAAATTCATCACTTTTACATTTCAGGACATGAAATACAAAGTGTGGATGGACAAAACGAATATGGGTGATGACATACTCGTGAGTATGGCAAGGGCTGTTGAAAATTCATATATCGTACTTCTGTGCATCAATACACAATATTATCGAAGTCATTATTGTCGTTTAGGTAAATATATTCTTTTTTCAACGCACTACATATTTTATTCTATGAAAATATTTCTATAGAAGCTGAATATGCAGCTGAAAAACGAATAAGGTTTATTCCATGCATGGTGGAGAAATCATTTCGTGCTGAAAGCTGGCTGGGGATAATCAAAGGCAGCAGTCTTCATGTTGATTTTTCGGTGCATGAGAAATTCAAGGAATCATTTAAAGAATTAATTCGATTAATTAGTCAGATTGAAAAACAATTATGCGTACAGCCACGTAAGTTTCTGCTTTGCACAGGAAATATTTTAGTGATTAATTTAGGTCGAGCACCAACACCATGTAATTTTTCTGGTCGAGTGTTGTTTGGAGACATGTCTGCAACAAATGCAGAAAGTCCAACACATACACATGATCAACATACTTACCGTTGTAATTCAATTGTTGAACAATATAAAAGATCGATTCACAAAGAAGATCATGATTTAAAGCACCTGAAGCATCATCAACTATTAGATCTTATCAATAAATTATTACGACAACAATCAACTACAAAAACGTCAAGATCATCACGTTATAGTTATAGTGAACAATCAGATGAAGATACGAAACAAGTGTGTCACTGTAATCAGCACGTTGAAAAAATATGCAACCGAGTATTAGACAAAAATGAACGGTTTGAAAAAATATGCAATCGTGTATTGGATAAAAATGAACATTTGATTAAGCAACAAGATCGTTTGAAATGCGGCACCTTCGATGTAAAAAAATCTCATAGTTTTGAAGATTATGCATTCATTACTACGATGTTACCTTGTTTTTTATTGTGCACGTTATTGATTTTTCTTGTAAAAAACGAATATATTATATGAATATTTAACTCGGTGTTTTTGTTAAAATTGTTATTATAAATAAAAGCTACGCGATCTACAGTAAATTTTAAAAAAATCTTTTAATATTAGAACAAAACTGCCTAAATATTTGATTGATTAAGAAATAAAAATTGTTTATGCAGATTGTCACGATTAGTAACAACTCGTCGAATCGAATATGCATTCAAAAGTGAAAACATTGGATGGCTCATATATTATTCCCAGTATCAATATTTTGAGTTTATCGCTTTTTCTTCGTTATATTTTGTTCTGAAGTTCACTATAATAGATGTATTTCGTTCAAATCGTTTACCAAGGACACAAGCAAATATAGAATACAGATGATGAGGAAGAAGAAATGAAAAGTTCATTATAGGACAAAGTCAACAAATAACTATGTTCAGTCATGACGCAAAAGTGTCTATAGGCCTACAGAGCACAATTTTTCGATAACTTGTAACTTGCCCTGCCTGAGAAATGTTTTGATAATATTTCATCTTCTCTGTCTCCATCCTATCAAACACTAAAGAATTACAAGTGACTATGCAATTTTATTCAATATATTTCAATCTCAATCATAACGCAGACAAAAGCAAACGCTACATATCGCGAAAATCTGTAATCATTAAAATATGATTGATAATATCAGGACTTAATGATTGTCTTCTTTTTGTCTAAAATTCGACTTGATAAACTAAAAACACGTTCCGATGTGGCGGAGCTTGATGGAACTCTCAATAAGAGATTATTCACAAAGATCATTCGAGATTACTCTAGTCTTAGACATTTTTGTAATACATATGTGTCGCGTGAAATCCTGATTTCTTGATTATTTTAAAAATCATACTGGTTTTTTCTAGTTTTACATAATAATTTTGATTTTTAAAACTTTTTGGGTATTTTCTGAGCAACATACATATTATGTGATAAATTAGTCATATGTTGACAGGTTGAAGCTCTCGTACTCTGCCACCTACCCTGTGAACAATAGTTATAATTTGACCCTACAGGGCTATAAGAGTGTCTAATTCTGTGAAAAATATTTGAGTGAAAATTAGATGAAAAACGATTATTATTCGCTTACTAATAAATTTTAATCAAAAGTAATAAAAAACCTGAAAGTTTCATTGATTATTTAATGTAATTTCGATTTTAAGCGATTTTAAATTCGTAAAAATCGATCTGAAACACCAGAAAATTATTGGAACGATCATGACAACACATCAATTATAACTGATTATTTTTATAAATTTTTAAATCGATTATTAATCGAACTTAGTCTAAATAATCGATGAAGCTTTGGAGTTTGCCATTATTCTTGATTAAAATCCGTTCAAAGTGGCTGATTATCATCCATCCCATTTTTTTCCACATGGGTGGGTGCATAATGATTGTCAGATTTCTTTAAGTATCCTTCATGAAATTGATGCAAAATTGTTCAGATTAGTGTCAATATCGACCAAAGATTGTTCTGCTTCATTACCACTATTTTGTTTTATTTTTATTTTTATATAACATCTAACGATAAAACAAGGAAATAAAAAGAAGATAATCTATTTGTAGGGAAAGACAACAACAAAAAATAGGTGAATTTATCTTTATTCATGATTTTAAGCTAAATAGAGATAATTTACTCTAAGAATATTCATTCCTTTTAGAATGACTACTTTAGAACACTATCAACATTGATACTTACGGATACAATATGTTTGAAAAATAAGCTAATGCAATTCAAGAGCGTTTCTGAAACTCAGAAAAGCTAGTTTCAAACGGATGTCTGTAATATTTTCCGACTACGCGTTTAGTTGCATGAAGCTGGCGGAGAGGTCATGTAAGTTTTAGAAACACTAGGTGATGGTTTCATCTGGATCATGATCGCTCTTTGGATTCTGATGTTGGGAAATTGCTTCTAGAATATATTCGGAATAGTTCTTCAATGTTAGTTTCTCAATGGAGACGATCAGCGAGAAATAGTTTTCCGGTATGTTCTTCGATTGCCTATTTTTTTTCCTTTTGTCAAGTACAAAAACAATTTTTTATTGAAAAAAAAATGACTAAGTTAGCCCCTTGAGAATATAGGATAATTTAATCAATAATGATAGATTCCAAAATCAAAAAAATCTTTGAATAGACCAAAAAATGCATCGAAAGTTTTTCTATCGTATGTTTTATCAATGAACTAATCGCAGAAGCTATGAATGAATTTTACGCTCTTGTTCTCGGAAAAGGAATAGTTATACATTCGAGTTCTTAAATTAAAAAAAAATGCGTAAAATTAAATATTGCTTCAAATGTTACTTGAATACGCGCTGATACACATAGGAAAACGTTACACATTAGTAGTAAAAAACGAGTCTTCCGAAAATATGTATCCATTTTAGGTTCATAAATTTTTTAATCCAGAGTAAATACTCTTACTGGGATTGTAAAAGCAAGGTTAAACCTTCGCGGTTTTCCTATTTACTTACGCAAGTTTTTAGTAGAAATATACAATGGAATAGATGATTAAAATATATCGAATTAACAAGAATTCTTCTCTGAAACTTTGCCCACCTATGGTTTCCACCATATGAGAAAATAACAGAAATCTTTTATTCATTTTTCCTGTCAAAATATCATCCTTGAAAACATATTTTGTAAAGCTACTAGCTTTACTTACAAGACTGAAATCATTTGTTGATACTCGAGCATAATCATGATTATACGCTTTTTTCCATATGCGAGAATATGATCTTAAAAATTTTAAATTAGTTTGTATTGTGGTATCATAAGAGTTTAACAGAAGAAGGGTATAGTTTTTCCGTGATTTAGTAACTTTTGTTCCTTGTTTTTGGAAGATGAAGCATTTTGAAGGATTTATATAAATAGATTCAGATGAGAAGAAAAAACTGCATTCATATATGTCGTTTGACATATATGAATGCAATAGTCTCTTTTAAATAAGACCATTTGATGAATTTAAAAAATATTGAAGTTGTGCAATTCCATATATGCATAACGAAAACCAGAAAAAAGAATCACCTATCTACGTTTTGATTTATTTATTTACTTTGATTCATTTATATAGTGCCGCATGCATGTGCACATTTGTTTTCTTGAAGAAAATATTTGTTTTCAAGTTGAAAAGAAAGCGAAATATTTATATTCGACCAACAATCTGCCTCTTGCAAAACTAATGGATGTTGTATTATCTCTATAAATAAGTCTCTGTGAGATAAAGATAATCTTGCAAGACCTATTAATGAACTGTTGGAAGGATATTATCACGTAGAATAAACTATTTATTAACTTAAAATAAAGCAGTCATGAAAGTTATCTAATCTCTTGACTAGACAAAAAGAAATCATCGAATCAAACCGGTTACCGTCAACCACATTAAAGATATTATAGTATAGTTATTGAGTTGATGTTGTCACTGCAGTTCAGTACATGGCTTTCTATGATAGTGTATGTATCGATAGGCCTATGATTTTAATTCAAATGAAAACGTTATAAAAGAATAGCTAAACTTTATGAAAATCAATACAAAAACAATTTCCACAAGATAAATAAATAATTATAAATTTGTTTAAATATCGATGGATATTTGGTATCCTAACGGTTAATATTTGGATTATAAAATTGAATAATACGTATGAAATTTGTTTTTGCTGTTGTCCAATGCATATCAATAAGCGATAAAGGTGTATATCGATTTGAAATATCACATAATTGTGTCGATTGAAGATATTTCCAATAATCCGAATAATTTCTATTTAAGCAATGTAGTTCTTGAGGAGTGTGTGTGATGGTGTGATTGAAGAAAGGGCGAATGCCCCCGATGCATCTGTTTCTAGGTGGTGCGACTTTGTAGAAATACGACACCAACCCTCTTGCTATCAATTTATCACTAACGTTTCAGGTTCATTACAAAATCATTGTGTTATAGTCAAGCCATTTGAATTTAACCTTAAATTCAAATATTTCGCTAATGCTAATGCAAAAGTATGGTCGCCTGTCTAGAAAATAAATTTAAATTCTTTAAATCTATATAATTAATTAAATAGCTTACTGTCTAAAGCATTTCTTTGGAATATAATCGATATTAAATTAATGAAGTAATTTTTAAAAATTCTAAACTATTAGTCATTAAATAAGTTTCAATTGGCTCATCAATTGCTTTTCTATTTCTTATTGAATCATCAATAAGATAAATTTTTACTTTCAAATGTTTGTTTTCTACTGGTCGTTTAATAATTATTAATATTAGATTTTTTAAAATTCAATACAGGTCAGGTTAAGAAGCCAGCCAGTCCACAGTGCTCTGACCCCCAGGCTGAGTCAGACTAGGCCAGGCCAGGCCGGGAAAAAGTGGTCTGTTGGTATCTCTGCTCTGTAGATGTTTACTAATAGCAGTTTTTACTTTAAATTTTATTATTCAGTAGTGATAGCTTCTTATATCACCTGACTATAGTATAAACTTGGCAATTTCCCAATAGAAAAAAAACACACTGTACCGTGACCGAAACGCAAAAGGATACGCATATGCCGATCGTGTGATATTTTAATGTATACTTTCGGTGCGCACGCACTTTTTATTCTCTAAATAAACTAATAAAAAGATCGATACGTATACTTGAATGTGTTCGTTTGGTAGTGAAGCCAAAAACAGAAAAAAATATTTTAAACTCAATTGGATTCATAAGAAAAATCTCTCGGAGATTCTTGATGCGTAACAAAAGCGAATAACTCTATAAAATAAATTACTCGAATGCATGCTCCACCAGCTTGACTTTCAAACATGTTAAAATTATGTCCTTCATGATTTCCATTTTGAAAACATTGAGCACATATACTCATGCATGGTGATATCGAACATGTTTTACATCGGTATGCAATAACATTTGCATTCCAAACTAAGCCACATATTTGTGCACTATTATAATGACGAACTAGAAATAAATGTAAATAATTTTAAAATGAAATTTATTTCTATGATTTTAATTAGCTCTTACTTCTTTCAATGAATTCGTTCATGGATCCATCGAAAATCTTTATTCAAAAGAAATACAATACAAAGAAATACGTATTATGCTTTTGAAAACAAGAAAGAACAGAAAAAAATAAACATATAACCCGTGGTGACTCATACGATAACACAACAGGAAAACTAAAAGCAACAGAACGAACGAGCGAGTGCATTTTTGTTGTTTATTATCATTTTCTTCTAGTTGGTCGATGATCAAACAGATTTCTCGTTCGATTCCGAAATTATATTTTTCTTCATCAGCAACTCAATTAAAATCTCCCAATCATAATTATGTTCCATCTCATCAAAAACCATCAACAGATGATATTGATAAATTTCAAAAATTTATATCTAATTCACAACGATTATTTATTATAACTGGTGCTGGTATTTCCACTGAATCAGGCATACCAGATTATAGATCAGAAGGTGTTGGACTTTATGCACGAACTACAAATCGTCCTATGTAAGAAAATACATACTGATTAAATTCATAATTTCTTTACGTAGGATGTATCAAGAATTTTTAACAAATGCAAAAAGATATAAAATGTATTGGGCTAGAAATTATATTGGTTGGCCAACATTTTCTTCTTTTCAACCCAATGAAACTCATAAGATATTTGCTGCATGGGAAGTAAAAAGAAAAGTATATTTCTATCAATGAAAAACAGATGATTTTAGTATTTTTCTTTTTATCTTCAAAGGTATTTTGGCATGTTACACAAAATGTAGATAGTCTATTGACAAAAGCCGGTTGTGAACTGCTAAGTGAATTACATGGTTGTAGTGCAAGAGTTGTTTGTGTTGATTGTGGTTATAAAAGT